TAGATAGATAGATAGACATACATACAGACAATACACTCGTTTCTTTGTCTATTTGTTTCACTCCAAACCACGAACCCATGGCCCTCCGCTTCGCGGGTCTGGGGTGGTTTGGAATGCTTGGGTTCGTTCTTTTCGCAGAAAGACGGGAGTTTAGGTCGGGGCGCGCTGTAGCAGCGAATGATACCGGGTCTGCGCGTGAGAAAGAGTCTACGAGAGTTCAAACTTCAAAGGGATTCAAGCTTGTCAGGATTGCTGATTTCGAAGTATGGCTTGGTAAATTTGGGCCTTTATGGACTCTTATCAGCTCCCCACACTTTCTGCCCCCTTGCATGGGAAGACTGAACAGTGGCCGCGACAGCACTCCGAATTCTCAGGTCGCGAATCCAGATGACGATGATTGGGTGAAGAATCCGGACTCCCGGCAATCCTGGTTGGGCTGGTTCCTAATGCTTTGTATAGATCTCGGAGCTTGAGTGAACGGCTTCGTTGGGTCCAGCTTGCCGTGATCTGAGCGCCGAAATGGAGTCAGCTGCCTCAGGTCGTTTGATCAAGAGTCCAACCGCCGTTTGCAGAAAGGATCACAACTCTACCTCTGAAAGGTTACATCTCTGAGTCGCAATGCATGCCATCCAGGACATTCGAAGCTACTGGACAGCCCCTGACGCCAAGCAGGGCAGCTCCGTTAGACAAGTTCGCATCCGAGTACCCGGAGGGGAGCTTTGGCAGGTCATACTTAGTGCTTGATTCCAGGTAACCTCCGCAAGCTTATCCGACCTGGCAAGATGTAGATGATGTAGACGGTCTTCACGTGTCCCAATCTCTAAACCGCCTAGCTTGCACTGACCATCGGATCGGTTTGCCGAAAGTCATGGACCCTTTGCAACACTTCTGCAAGGTCCCTGTTCCCACTGCTTCATCCGGTCGTTACGCCGGCATCGCTGCCGAGCTGACGAGCCGTCCCGGCATGTGGAGATGCCAGAGCTCATGTCTAGTTGAGGGCTTGTTAGATAAGCGCAATGTAAGCATCAATGGATGCATTCTTTGAACACGTTTGTGCTGCTTTGGGCAGGTGATGGTCGACTTGATCCAGAGCCGTGGCAAGGTCGCTCGGCATGGTGTCGCTCTAGGTCCTGTCACAATAACACGGCTTGAATTTACTGCAGCATCCCGGATAGGATGCAGGACTGAATCCCTTTTAATCCTCCTGACGTTAGACTCGCTCGTTCTCTCTCTGTCTCTCTATCTCTCTCTCTCCCTCCCTC